GAGTCCTGCTTGCCACCTGCTTCCAGTCAAACGGCGCTTCATCTTCTGGAAACAATAGATCACTGAACTGAGACATAAAGGCCTAAAGGCACTCACAAACACACACTAACACAAAAACAGAGTGAAACCAGAGCTGGAGAGCAACATTAAGAGAAACAAGAGGAGAAAGTGGTCAGATGTGAAGAGTCAGAGAACATGAGAACACACAAAGTCCAGAGACAAAGAGTGAAATGTGTCTGTGTGTGTCCATCCAGTGGGGTGGAGTGTGTGTGGTGTAAATAGCTCCATGTGGTGAGCGTCAGCCAGGACAGACAGCCGACTGTCGCCAACATACCCTCCCTGTCACACACACACACACACATGCAGAACACACACCAAAATCCCAGTCCCACAGGGAGGAATGCTGCAACTACTTACAATCAAAACCTACTTACATTTCCCCAAAACACACAACAGAAATGTGTGTTTCAGTTCATTGCACATTCTTGTGTAATATGAACATTTCATTTTTGTAAATATCATTTCAAGATGTGTTATGTGTTAAGAGAAACACTTTTTTTGGTTTCCTCTGTGGTGTTATAAGAGGAGAGTGACACAATTAAAAACTGAACATTATTTTACCCAACTTCCTGTTCTGCATGGACTGTATATTCACATGTAGTGTGTGTGTGTGTGTGTGTGTGTGTGTGTGTGTGTTTAATCTATATGTCAGTGTCACAGTTAAAGCTCCTCCTGCAACTCTGACTCTACTCCAAATCAACGCCCAGATCTAATTATTGTGTAGAAAACAGGCAAGCAGCAAAAATACAAATTACTTCACATAAGTATGGTAATTAAGTAGTAAAAATAAATAGGGCTACAAAAACGAGAGCAAACACAAGTTTTTTGTGTTTTTTTTTTCTTTCCCAGGGCGTAAAAAAGTACAGCTGATTCTCTGATGCCACTACTACTGTCACGTTTTAATGAGCGCCTGTGGTAATAATGACTTTTATAAATTACCAACATGTCATCATTCTAGAGCATAATTATTGCTTCCGTCAGTTTCATAGTCTTTCACGTTTTAAAGGTTTTAAATAGTATCAGTAATAATCAATAAAATTGTATTTTTTTATGCATTACCTTAAATTGTAAACTGCACAAATCACTTCTTTTAATTTGATTGTAAAGCTTTACTTACAAATGTAAATTCAAAACAGTCGCTGCAATTTGTTTTATGAATTCTTGGAAAGTCTTGGAAAGCGCGGAGTTTACCACAAAGAGGACTTTGTTTACTGTAAACACCAACATACATTGTCTTTTTGTGGCAGGGAACACAGCAAGGTTTGTGACCAAAGCAAAAAGTCAAGATCAAAATAAAATATAATCTAAAAAATAAAAACCATGTTTATGTTTTAGTGTTTGTGACTAACCTCAATCTGCTGAAGCTCTAGGGGTGATTTCAGCCTCATACACACCGCCTGACTCAGGTAAGCGTCTACGTCTTCGTGAGACAAGGTTTGTACCTGGAACATACACACAAATCACACACAGAGGACGATACATGGTTTGCCATCTCAGTCCTAGTGTGGGTCAGTATGTTTGGTCTGCTAGCTGCACAATTCAACAAAACAGAAACAATGCTGACAGCAGAAACAAAGCTTTTCAGTCGTGTGCAAAACAAACAAGCCCTGAAGTTATTTAAATAGAGGAGTGAGAGGGGAATGTGAATGTAGCACTGATCAGACAACTATTGTGTGTCAGGCTGTCTGCTCATCTCTGATTATCTACTCGTCTAATAGTCTGTTTGACAAGCTGCTCTCATGTCTGTCTGTTGCTCCTTCATCCATTTAAATCAGTGGCTGCCAGTCACCGTCTGTGTGACTAAAACCAGCGTCTGGTTGGACTCCCGCCTGTCAGTCATTCATCTCTTTCTAAGTTAGTAAATACAGATTGTTTTTATCTGAACCTTTAAGATAGAACCAACACAAACAGTTGAATTTAGACATTATTTTGGATTCTGAAAAAGAACTTAAGCCCAAGGCATTGGTCAAAACAAGTGCAAAGCCTTTTAGAAGGAACATGTTATTAAAAATGTCACGTTTTTAAAAAATTGTGGAAATGTTCATTTTTTCTGTGCATGGGATCAATTTGGGGGTTTGAAATCGACCAAGAAAAAACAAAACGCATCTTTCTGGTTGCAGGATGTCTCGTTTTGTTAGTCCTTTGCATGAGAAAAGTACATCACTCATCCAGATGAGTTGAACAAACCAAACAAATCCTTCTTATGTTTTTTGTTTAATAACTTTAAAACGACGCTCTGTTTGTTGTATCTCACAAGTGCAAATGTAGAACTCTTTTTGCACTTGCTTTCTGCTTTGCTGATATTTCAAATGATCATAAAAAGTTAAATATTTCACTGTAAAGTTTAGACAGAAATCAGTTGCTAATGCTTTTACTCAAAGGTTTTATTTTTGACAAGGTAACTTATTATTCGGGCAGCACGGTGGCGCAACTGGTAGAGCTGCTGCCTCTCAGCGAGCAGGTCCTTGGTTCAAACCCCGGTCCAGGGGCCTTCTGGGTGGAGTTTGCATGTTCTCTCCGTGCATGCGTGGGTTTTCTCCGGGTGCTCCGGTTTCCTCCCACAGACCAAAAACATGCATGTTAGGCTGATTGTTAACTCTAAATTGTCCCTAGGTGTGAGTGAGAGAGTGAATGGTTGTTTGTCTCTATGTGGCCCTGTGATGGACTTGCGACCTGTCCAGGGTGTACCCCGCCCCTCGCACAGTGATTGCTGGACATGGGCACCAGCGACCCCCGTGACCCAAAATGGAATAAGCGGGTAAAGATAATGGATGGATGGATGGAACTTATTATTCTCATTTTTTTGCAAAAAAAGTTTATTCTAATTTAGATTTTTAAACTGGCTATTATATATGCAAGAGTACATAAACCTACAGAAATTAATGTCATAAATGTTTTATGAAGATAAAGTCTGACCTCTGCCAAGACCAGCTAAAGCTGAGACCCAGAACAAGAATTTTATTAAATATTAATTATCAATTTAACAGATGCTGAAAATTAGAATACTTCATTTCTTTAACAATTTGCTGAGTATTAAACTGAATATTAAATGTTCTTCTCAAATGTTTGAGTACTTTATGTGTATAGTCATACTAATACAATGGTGTTGTATTTTGACCAAAGCATGTCAAAAATATGACGACTGGAACTTGTGTGGGTTTGTAAAAAAGGAGTAAAACAAGTTGCCTGTTTGCTGCAGGATTGATCAGTTAAACTAAATGGTATTTTCCTTTCCTGATGTGACGCACGCAAGTTCATCCAGGTGGCTTCATCCTGTAATCTGTTTTGTTCAAGCTCAGTCAGATGACTGGTGCAAAATCCAAAACACGCATATCTCTACTTTTTCAAACACAAAAGGCATTACATCCACAATAAGAACATAAAAGCACTGGTGTAAATTAAAAAACGTCTTTTGAAATATTCAAAGCCTTTGGACGCTTTTAAGACCTGCTGTTGACGCAAAAGCTGAAGTTACAAAGATCAGTCTCTGTGATTAAAATGGGCTGCCTGTGGCTGATAATGGCTGCTGTCAGCCAACACAAAACAAAGCGCCAACAAGCAGTGTTTCATTTCACATCACATGATGACAAAAGAGAAGAATAATTGTTGTGTGTATGCTATTGATGTAAATCCCAAATCAAAAGCTGGCTTGTATGTATAATTGTCACCAAATAAATTTGGTCTTTCATTTTCTGTTTACATAAATCAACAGGTGCAGGTTTACCACCCATTCATCAACAGCAGCACTTCTACAGCAAAGATGCAGCCTGATCACTGAAACCCACAGGAGACATATTAATCAAAGAGGGGACATCATTACTTTTAGGTGTTTAGATAATACTTGTAATAAAGTAAAAAGTATTACATTTTTAATTTGTGACTGAACACTACTGTGACTGATATGACAAGAACGTAGTGTAAAAATGAAATGATCAAACATTATATTTTTTTCTGTTTGTTTAATCCTGTTGCATGTTAAAAAAAAAAATTCAATAAAATTATTAGATAACCAAGCTGATACTACCTGTAGGACTATGTATGTGATCAAACAAAGAGCAGCCAGGAGAGAGTCTTCAATCGCACCATACAAGTCAGAAAACTCAAGGCAGTCAAAAATTGAAAGGAAAGCTGTAAGGCGAAGAGCTGAAACCTCTGGACCAGTGCTGAGCCACAAGAAGTCCAGACTGGGTTCACCATCTACAAATAAAGACAGAAGAAAATAATACTTAAAAAACACTTTGTAAAAGTTGTCTCAAAGTCTTAAGTATAACAAAAAGCTTCTTTTTTTTTTTTTAAAGACACTTAGATGCTTTGGAGGCCACTAATGCAACAGTATTATTGCTATATTTATAAAAGTATATAAGCAGATACAATACATGGGAGATGGACAGGGACAGGATGGACTATATCAGCCTCTTTTAAAAGATTTCCAGGATAGACAAACCATTCCTTGATTACTGGATAATCAACGGAGGGACCTGAAAACGACAAAAATAAATAAATCCAGGTTTAATTCTCCAACATTGCCTATCATGAAACTACCTGGTAGTTTAAAAAAAGTCCATGCTCAATAATCCAGGTATAAACAATTTTCAGTCAGGTCTTCGGGACAGTTTATTTTTATTTTTCTGAAACGTTTCACCTTCCATCCGGAAGGCTTCATCAGTCAAGAAAACACACAACACAAAACTGATTCTTCCCCCAAACAGCTTACTCCAAAGTGGAACAAACCAGTTATGTTGGTGCTAAGATGGTGCTTTGGCACGCCCCCTCCTCTGGTCCGGCCCTCTTCCTCATCGACAGTCATATCAAACTTGACATGACTGTCGATGAGGAAGAGGGCCGGCTCCAGGTGGTGGTGATGGTGGTGGTGGGGCATGCCAAAGACACCATCTTAGCACCAACATAACTGGTTTGTTCCACTTTGGAGTAAGATGTGTGGGGGAAGAATCAGTTTTATGTTGTGTGTTTCCTTGACTGATGAAGCCTTCTGGATGGAAAGTGAAACGTTTCAGAAAAAAAAAATGAAAATGTCCAGAAGACCTGACTGAAAATTGTTGGATACCCGGTAGTTAACTCTTCAGCTGAACACATAACAAGCAAAAAGGATGCTGCATACTTCATGAGCCTATTTTTTTCCAGAGGAGTTTAATCTGTATGTGCAAAAAGATAAGCACTACATTTTGCACATTTTTATATTTCCAAATGGACATGTTTATGTTTCCAGATTTGTAAATCTTCACACATGTATTTGTGTTTGATTCATTCCATGTTTTTGCTTTCTTACTTTCTTGTCCAAGCAAGAGCAACAAGCCATAGATGCGTTGTCTACAATACTTGTAGACGAGAGCTTGAGGAAGCAGTTCAGTGTCCTCCTCATCCTCCAGAGAGTTGCTGCATTCTGTGACTCCAGCGCACACAACGCTGTAAACCATAAAACCATCCGCGGCTACATGCTTCTCTCTACATACCTGTGGAAAATCACAGTAAAAAAAAACAACTAATGTAGGATTTTTTTATGTTAAAAAGTCAAAGAAGACTTTAAGCTGAAATGCACATTATATGTCATACGTGCCTTTAATATTTCAGGACTAACAAGTTTCTCAAATGCAGAAGGAAGAGCAGAAATGTCAACTATCTCAAACCCTTTCTGTCCGGGTAGTAAATAAGAGCAGATCCCCTTTATGAGTAGCTCTTTAAGAGGAGTTGGAGCATTCAGAGACTGTGGGACAAGTTCATTTTGTTCATCCTCTGGACTACACAAAGAGTTCACAAACTGGGCTACAGCCTGCACCACATGATCTCGAGGTGCACCAGAAGATGGTGCTGAACTGGTCCTCCTGTAAACAATAAAGTTATGTTTGATCACGTTGAAATATCTCAACAAGATTATTGTTTGTTCCCTCTATAGACAAATTATCCAACTATAATAGCATCACACCTAAATATGTTAATGGTATAAAGATGGCATATATTTCTACTTTTCTGTGTAACAGATCAAAGCCGAGTTAAAAGTATTATGGTTATGGGTAATTAGGTTTAAAATTCCTTAAAGCAAAAATAATTCCAGTAAGGAAAATTACAGATACCTGTATATTGTCATGGCATTGTTCCTGATATGCTGCATGTGCTCTTCTGACACCACATCGTTACCGAGGAGACAGGCCAGCAGAGGTAGCTGAGTAACAGCCAGACCAATGTTTCTGCAGAGCCTCTGCCGGTCGTACATGATAGTGGTTAGGCTGTTGATCCGTAGCTTTGCCACAGACAAGTAAGGGACACTTAAGAGATGAGATAAAACTGCACGTTCAGATCAGTTTGTCAACATCTCTGTCACTTATTATCATCTTCAACATTGATCAACATAAAATTCAAGACAGTGTTTAAGTTACACCTGTCATTTTGCAGTCAGAAAAAGGCACTTTGAAAATCCAAGTGTAACAACGTAATCTCTTTTACAAACCTGTCATATATGATGAAGTCTGAGTCCTGTCCCAGAATGCCCATGCTGTCATGCTGATAAGCATAGCTGGCAATCTCATAATCTGCCTCTCGCACTGAGCAAAACACTTCCTGTCCCAATGACCTGCAGACAACACCAAATCTAATCAAACTTGTTCTAATAAGTATTTGTATTTTAAATAAATTAAAAAGTACTCAATTAAAGAATAAGCATCCCTGCATAGTGGCAATTGAATTGTAAACAGATTTGAAAGTGGTCACCTGAGGGCATAAGGTGTGAATGTTGCCAAACTGGATGGCAGGCAAGACAGCCTGTCAGGCTGCTCACCATATTCTTTGATATGACTGAATATTTTTGATACATCCCTGTTCACTCTGTGTCGCCTCTTTACCTGTAAAGCAAAGAGGATGTTGTTTGCATAAACGTCTAAGATTGTGTTAATTTAAATGAGAAAACACATCACTTTATATAAATTAGATGGTTTGTTTTATTTTAAAGCATCTAACGTCTACATGTGCTACTGAACAGGGCAACCTGGTGGGAAACACAAATACCAGTACTGTATCTCTCAATGTTTTCCTAATCTGTATCAAATGTACATCCTAATCTGTGTCTGTGCTTACCCACTCTTGTCTTTTCTGCTCTTCTACCACTCCATCAAAGAAAAAGACCAATCTGATGTCTGCAGAGGTGAATGCCTCCACCCATCTCTTTAGGATATCCACATATTCCCTCCATTGGCCCCCACACACCCAGTCCTTACACGAGTACCAGTGGGAAAGGCAAGACATGCCATCCACAACAAGAGTGGGACCTACACAGAAGCAAAAATGTTTATGTAACAAAGTAGAGGCCAGCTTTCTACCCCACTCAGTTTACACTTAATGCAAACACACCTACGCCTAGCATAACCGGGAAGAAACATACAGGCTTCTAATGATATGGTTTTAAAAAGCGTAATAATCTTAATCAGATGTTAAGGTTTCAGCGCTTATAAATAGGAAATACAGGCATATAGTGCACAGTTTGTTACTACATAGTGAACAAAAGAGCTTAACTACATTTTACAAACATAACATTTAATCATTCAAATCATAATATCCTGATGAAACAAATTTGGAATGCACATGTGACATCAAGATTATTAAAACATGAACAATGATAGTTAAATAATAATTGATAGATATGGGGCAAAAACGGTAGTTTACAATAAAATCACAATCATCTGATGCTTTGTATTTAAGATCTCTACAGAAATTGTCCATTAAAACAGTTTAGTGAGCAGGAGCATTTTGGCCACATTCGTTCATCTGTATCTGCCTTTCTTTTTAATTAAGATCCCATTTTAATTACATGTGTTTTATGTCCTCATAATAACAGCGTACAATATTACAGTATATATTATTTTCTAAAGGTTAAAGCTTTAGCATAAGTAAGAGTTTTAAACATGAAAACATGGTCAAAACGGTACTACCTTTTCTTAATGGTTTCACTATTTTAGTATACAGTAAACACACTGCCAGTGCCACATAAAAAGCATATGTGTTTGTGTAACCTGTGTATGGACAACCTTGATGGTTTTTGGCAACATGTTGTCTAGCCATCTCTCTCAAATTCACTGTTACACAGGCCTCTGGACAGCAACGCTCCATAAAGCTCTGAAGACCTTTTACTCCCATTCCTGCCAAGCATAAAACACAATGAAACATCAAAACATTTCAACAAAAAGCCAATGACAGTGGACAAGATAAAGATATAGATATGTCAGAAACAGAAAAGTCATTATCTGTTAGGTATTATTAATTTGATAAATTTGTCATTGATACAATTGATCTTTCAATGTTTTAATGGCATTGTTCCAGAGGCAGCAAAATGTATTGAAAAAGGCAACTGGCCAGGAGCTACAACAACAACAGGAGCAATTAATGGAAACTGAGGAAGGGTGAGGCATAAAAGATCATTTGGACAATCTGCTTATTTGTTTAGACGTTCTCAGATTTGGAATAAATTGCCAACAGCAACAAAATTATTCCTAGTTTTTAAGTCTCATGTGAAACAATGGTTGAAAAAAATATGTAAAGATTGATGTACACTAATTTGTGCAGCACTTAACAGTTAAAACATTTATTCTCTACCCTGTAATCTTGTTTATCTCCTGTTGTTATTGCTATTATTTTATATGTAAGTGTGAGTATAGTTTGTATTATTTCTTCAGTAATATTGTTTAAAACAATTATTGTTTTAATTTAGTAGTTTTAAACGTGTAGTTCTCCAAGTAAAGTGTAACCAGCTTAGGTGAACAACTTATTATTTGGAAGGTCTTCATCTTCATCCACGTAAACATATCCTGCTGACAGAACTATGATGTAAAATTGTAGTGGTTTGGCACAATTAGGTCATCGTTACTGTAGTAAGAGAATAATTTTGTTATGATGGAGAATGCTAACGAAGTGCTAGCTTACTAAACAGCTACAACACCGCTCTTAGTTGCACATAACTGTCCTTATAAACAAACTAAGGCTGGTCTACAAACGTATTTACCTCTTGTTTTATCTAATATACGAAAAAAACTTACTTGAAAAGCTTGATATGCTTTACAGCATTTAATGTCTGCTGTGTTTTACGAAAATTCAAACTACTTCCTGTAGTTTGCGCGTGACGTCATTACGTTTCAAAACAAAGCACGTGGGCTCGGGTGAAATGGCAAACAAACGGTGTACAGTTAAAAGTGAGATAGTTTATCATTCTTACTGGTAAATCAATGATTTATTAAATTTAATTTGTTACATATCAAGAAGGCATTTCTTCTGATCCACAGTTTCTTAGAAACATCAAACATCTTTTTAATTAAAACTGCTTTTTTCATGTTTTTGTTTAATTGTATTTTCAGCAGGTATCCACAATCAGAAACAAATGTTTACTCTGTGCAAGTCACACTTCAAATGTATTCCTTGAAATACAGTTTTACTATGATCCTAAATTAGAAATGTTGGCAATCTGATAAGGATGAAAGTTATATTTGAGAGCTAAAAACTAAAATTAGAGAACATTTTTTTGATATAAATAAATGTTCGATAACTTTTGTTTTGTGTAGCCCATACTTTAAAGTGCAAAGTTACAACAAACTTCAAATAATAGTTTTGCTGATACAAAATGTCATTGTACTGGTACACTGTGCCATGAATGAGAATGAACCATTATGGTTTTCCTCATAACACTTCACTGGATTGGGGCTGAATGCTCTATAAGAGAATGGGGGCTCTTGGAGTCACAAGCAATTAGGTCTACCTTCTCAACACAAAGCAAACCCATCCTGTTCATTCTATTGTCTACACTGCAGGGCCGTAATAAAGAAAGGAACATATGCTGGGTCAGTCCAGGTGTTGTTTCTCAGCCAGATGTTCTGTGGAGTGGGCAGACAATGTTCTTAAACAGCTGATAGTCCTTACAAACAAGGAGAAGCCGTGCTGTAAATGTTTTTTAGTACAATTCCTATAGTCTCTTCACTGGAGTCATGGACTGTATTTAAATAAAACTAAAAGCTTGTCCTGCATGTTTTGGTGTAACTAAAACACAACTTGTGTATTTTGTTTTAAACCCATGAATAAAAATCAGATTTTGATCAAATATTTGTGAATGGGGGGGGGGGGGGGAGTGTGATTTTCATTCAGTCATTTTAGTCAAAATGTTTTGTTTTGTACGTCAGTGTCCTACACTTTAGGTCTTTGTTGTAGCTTATAGTAAACTGAAGGATCTTTTTCAATCACTCAAGAAAAGCACACACTATGCATACATCTGTCCATACATATGTATTTTGTAATACACCCCCCCCCCCCCCCCCCCCCCCACACACACACACACACACACTTAGCAAGTGACCAGAGAGGCTTAAACTCCTAAATCCTGCATCCTATTCTCATTTCTTCAGAGTTTGGGTCTGTTGTATTTTCACACCAGGTCTTTTCAACATCCTTTACAGACTCTTCCTTCTCCTCTTCGATCTCCTCCCCTCTGATCCCCCTCCTCTCCTCCTCTGACCAAAGCTTGACCGGGGAGTATCAGAGGCAGATGTTCCAGGAGCACATGACTGCCCTCAGCCCCACCTAACCCCACCCCAACCAACACCTCCCATTTGTACTGGATCAGCAGTTAACCCCCGGAAAGAATTGGCCATACAAGCACGCACACACATACAAAGAACACCGCTGCCCAAATCTGTAAGAACTCAACAGTTGTCCAACTGAATGAACAGCAGACACACACACATGCATGCATACGCACGCACACACACACACACATGCATGCGCGCACACACACACCATGCTCTGTCCAGAGTCCCTCAGGTTTCCTGTTGGCCATGCTGGGGTCAGGCCTGGTGTCAGTGTCCAAGCCCCAGGGTTTTTGTCGGCAGCTGGCCTGGCTAATCCAGCTGCTGGAGGCCAAACTTCTCTAACTAAAGACCATGGACTCCTGGAGGGCCTCGGGGCAGAGATCTCCAGGGGCAGGCAGCGTGTGATTTGTTTATAATTCAGGAAAGTGTGTGTGTGTGTGTGTGTGTGTGTGTGTGGGGGGGGGGGGGTTACATGTTTGCTTGCTTGTTGTATGTCCATAACAAACACCAGATTTCACCAGATTTAACTAATCAAATCATCAGCTGTAGGGTTTTGTTGATACACTTGTGTACTTGCATGCTGAGCGGATAATTTACATCCTAATTTGTTATTTATAACAGTTTCATATGAAATCAGTTTTAATAACCATAAATGGTTTAGTCAGTTGTTGAAAGTAGAAAATACTCCCCACAAAAAAAAAAGCATTAAATTCTCTCAACTGAAAAGATACAGGGCAGCACGGTGGCAACTGGTAGAGCTGCTGCCTCTCAGCGAGCAGGTCCCCAGTTCAAATCCCGGTCCCGGTGCCTTTCTTTGCATGTTCTCTCCGTGCATGCGTGGGTTTTCTCCGGTTTCCTCCCACAGACCAAAAACATGCATGTTAGGCTGACTGGTAACTCTAAATTGTCCCTAGGTGTGAATGGTTGTTTGTCTCGTTTGTCTCGTTTGTCTCTATGTGTCCCTGTGATGGACTTGCGACCTGTCCAGGGTGGACCCCGCCCCTCACACAGTGATTGCTGGGCATGGGCACCGGCGACCCCCGTGACCCAAAAGTGGAAGAAGCGGGTAAAGATAATGGATGGATGGATGGATGAAAAGATACAGTATAATAAATCTATGATTAATTCATCCTAAATTTATCGATTGAAAAACTATACATTTCATCATTCTACAGTTTATTTCTAATTAACTTTTTTGGTGATTAAGTTTAGTCATTTGAGAGACTGCTGAAGCTGGAGGTTAGACTCATGCTTTAGGAAACTGCATGAAACACCAAATATATTTCAAGCTAAATATCATCAGGAACATCTAGTCTTAATTTTATAACAGATAGTATCCGACTTTTAAAAAAGTCACTGATGGCAGTGATATTTGTTAAATTATCTGATACACCATATGTGTGCGTTAGAGTCACGCAGAGAGGCTGAACATGTGTTTTACAGTCACTACATTTAAAGGAGGCTGCATCAGTTCTTCGTAGCTCTAGTTTCTAACCTGATCGCAGGCTGCTGCAGCGAGAGACTTATCCATCAAGCCACACGACTCCCCCTTTATCATTATAAACAGCACCTGTCTGTCTGTCTAAAGAACGATGCAAATGTCTTGTATCATCCCTTGTTATATTTTTGTTTTTAAAATAGACTTTCCTTTAATCTTGTAAAGTAATCTGGATTGATGTTTCTTTATGCTTTCTTGATTTCCCCCCAAAATTTAACTTTGGTTGCTTTTCTCTTTAGTTTCATTTCAGTACCTGACCATTTTCAAATAAATGTTGTTTTTTGTCTGTCAGTTTATTTAAGACTCATAACTCTGACCGATGAGTCATTCAGTCATTTAAAAAAAGTCTTTTAAACCCAAAGGCTGAACCATTGTTGTGTCAAAATATAACAAAGAACCAATTTAAAATTTGCAATCACAAAGAAACAATTTGATCCCACTTCTACAAAACTTATCACAGATGACACATTTTTACAAAGACACAAGCTGAAACTTTATATGATCAACTGAGGGATTATGCATCTCTCAGGACCTGTGTATATCCATCCATCCATCCTTTTTCCACTTTGTTCTGTTCAAAGTCACGAGGAACTGGTGTGAACCTGCAACAGTCAGAGGGCAAGGGGTGAGGTGCACATGTGGGTCACTATACCAGGACCTGGATCAGATCAGGAGCTGTTATTTTTGCCTGTCTTAAACACATGATACTGTTCATCTGCTGCTCATGATTGCACTTTTTATTTTGTCTTCTGCTTGTCCACTTTCTTTATTTTTTAGAACACACACTGTGCTGTCAGCTGGTACAAGGTCTTGACAAAAATGGTGGGGGGAAAAGCAACCAAAGTCTAAAAAATAAAAACAACAAATCCTCAAAAATCTTATGAAGACCACTAATTATAAATGAAAGCTTGACTCTCTGGAAACAAAACATAAATTATGAGCAGTTTACAACTCTTACTTAAGAGGCATAACATCAGAAAATAATATTCTTAAACCTAATGAAGTGTCAACATCTTTTTAATTCTACTCAAATAAACTGATGGCATTCTGATGAGTGACGCAGAACTCCATCAGTGCATGAAAAAAGAGAGAACAACTATTGTTTGATTGGAAGTGGACCGATCCAAAGTCCATTTAACCTTTGATTTCTACAGATGACCAAAGCAAAGGCCGCCATGTGTAACTGTGTGTGTGTGATGAGGATGATGTGGAGGTTCCCACGATGGCCAT